CTATCAGGCTGGGAAATCAACATTTGTAGAAAACTACAGAGGCCCTGAAATCTCTACCTTTAGTGTGCCATAAAGTATTCAATTGCTTGTTCTCACAGTCTTATTTGCTTTGCTATGTAAATTGTGCTTTCAAAGCATTTTCTTGTGATCAAGAAGCCAAAAGCAGCAGAGACATGAGACAGATCAGTAAATTTAGGATTCATCTTCAGAGGTGCTGAGTATCGCATGCCAGCGTAGTCTGAGCGAATGGTGCATCCTCCAAAAGCCCCAAGACTCCTCTTGGAGTTTCTAGGGTCCTGGAAGAGCCTCATGCCCAGGTGTAGCTGCCCTGGGATTGAGAGTAGAAAGGACCTGAATCCAGTCCAAGTGCCAGAACTTCCATTCCCCTTTTTGGCCCCCTCAGGCTCCAATCTGTGAAGTGTGCCCCTTCTGAAGCAACCACTCAAGTCCCAGCAAGCCGCCACTCATTCCCTGGCTCAGGTTCAACCCAAGATACCATTTTCAGCATTTCAATAGCCAAAGGAGACTGGCTTCAGTACTGTAACTGCAGATTCCTTTCATGGAAACCCTGAAGTCAAAGGGGCAACCAGAGGAAGGCAAGGCAGGAAAAGAGTTTCCTTCAAGGGGCTTAACCAGAACATAAGCCTCCAGGAAGCCATGAGATCAAACAGCATGGAGAACGCAGTTTCTGAAGTTGGTAGACTTACCAATGCATTCTCAAATATTCCCTGGGTCTCCCAGGCTGTTGTAATTTTTCATTATGTTTATTATCTTGGCATCTGAAAGGTAATTTGTACCACCTCATAAGAAGCATGTCCATGTTCCACTGCCTCGTTTCTTTTATTAGCTAAGGGCACTATAGGTTCCCTGGAACACTCTCCTCTTTTTTGGATCCCCCTCATATCATGTGTTAGTGTGATGTATAACTAAGCCTGTGTTCCTTGATACTTTAAGCATAAAGATTGATTCATCTCATTCAGTTTCTTAGAGAAATAATCACACCAAAGCTGTCTTGCTAAGGTGTGTGGTTTCAAATCTAATTTCATGGCTTCATTATGCTGACATTCTCCAAAATCATAACACATAGGTTTGCTGTTGTACCTAGTACCTCTCTGCCAATCACCAGGGAAATAAAGTGAGCATGTTGACTCAATGAAAGCTGAATTCACATTTACAGTTCCCCCAAGAAACTGTAAAAACAACACTCATTTTTGAAAAGTCTCCTCATTTCCCTGTTTAAGCACTGTGTATGTCCTTTGCCCAAAACCCTATCAGCCTTTCACGCATCTTTAACTGATGACCATGCCGTTTGCCTGCTGTCTCCTGATTTAAAGTCTTGCTACTGAAAGATTCCATAAACTTACTGTAGGCCACCCTAGAGCACTACACGAAGAGAGAAGCTCTTCTCATCCCCAGCCCAAGGTTCCTTGTAACTTACCTATTCAACAATGAGAGTCTTGTTTTTCATTCCTGGAGTTCTGGTCTTATTGGTCCCTGGTTCTGCCAGGTAAAACAGAATCTTTTTATTCCAACATTATAAAAATGTAAATAAAAAAGCATGCAAGGTCTTCCGCGAGTTTGTCAATAAACCAGCCCAGGGCAGGTGTTACTGTAGTGTGAAGGCTGGGCCGAGGCTTGGAGGGTTGGTGCTCCGACTGTGTGGTAGATTCCCTTGGTGACTGAGGAGTCTGATCCAGAAAACGTAAGAGGATGTGCATGGAACACAGGGAATTTGGAGAACTACATGACGGATAGAAAAGGATGGTGGGAAGAAGGGCTGGGGGTGAAGAAGCTATTGCTCCACCACAATCCTTGCTATAAGGAATATACCCATGATACAGCCAATCAGGCGCCTACTTTAGATGCTCTTTAAAGCTAGATAAAACTTTGATGATTTACTTCATGTAATAGCAATTGTTTTATTTGCACTTGGAGTTTTCATTCTATTTTTAATCAAATAATTGCCCAATTTTATAGACATATTTACTGAATAATCAATGTAATATTTCCAAACTAACTTTGGAGTTCACTAACACTGCATAATAAATATTAATCTTTGTCTTATTTCTAACATTAATTTATATTATATTTTATTGACATTTTTTCTGATGTACATATTAATCCCATTTCAATGGCTTATCGATCTAAATTTCTCATTGCTGTTTTAAGTTTTTATGAAGCTATAATTTCCAGTAAAATTCACTCTTTTAAAAGATTGTCCTCTTCTGATTAAATTCTTCAATGATTCATAGATCATCCTGTAGAATCATTTTCTTCAAGAAGGTTCTTGATTTTCTTTTTCATTTCTTCAGCAACACATTAGTCATTCAGTAGCATGTTATTTAACTACATGGTGTTGTTAATTTCTTTCTTTTCTTCCTGTTGTTGTTCTTGTTTTATGGCTTTTCATTTAAGGGGATGTACACTAACTATGTAATGGAGACTATCAAATTCAGATGTGAGAATACAATGCAATATGCATCTCTGCTTCCAGATCAAAGATGGACTCCCTATGAAACTGTTAAATATATTATGGCAATAGGATGCTGGACTCTCTGCCAATATCCTTGCCTGCAATGAAGGACATATGACTCTTTATGAAGAACTATATTATAGTAATAATATAGGTGAACTCATTGTGCGGGGAGGGGTTAAGGGGAATCCTAGGGAACTGTATCATAAGATGATAATAATAAAAAGAAGTAAAAATAAATAAATAAATAAAAGATTGTCCTCAGTAGATCTCAGGATAGCCTTTAAATTGTGCAACCAGGTCCACATCTTAGCCCTTGTATATAAAACAGCAATAAATATGAAGTGTAGCCACTCTTTTGCATGCTGATTTCATCAGGGCCCAAAGCTTTGGGACCCTGCACCCGCGTGGGAGACCCGGAAGAGGCTCCTGGCTTCGGATCGGCATAGCATCGGCCATTGCGCTCACTTGGGGAGTGAATCATCGGATGGAAGATCTTCCTCTCTGTCTCTCCTCTCTGTATATCCGCCTTTCCAATGAAAAAATAATAAAAATAAATCTTTAGAAAAAAAACACAATGGAAGATTGTGATCTAGAGATTGAGATCTAGAGATAGGCTTACTGAATCATACCATGGGTCTGTTTTCACTTTGCTGAGTCAGCCCGTGTTGCTTTCCAGGAAAGCTGTACTAGTTCACATTCCCACCAACAGTGTTCAAGAGTTTCCTCTTTTCCATATCCCCATCAGCACTTGCTATTTTTTTGTCTTATTGTTAATATCTCTTCTGAGTTGCATGCTATCTATTAATGCAATATTATTCTATTTAAGTAATCTAGGACTGGTAAATTGGTGGTAAGGATTGAAAACAAAGAAAAGATATAGATATATTTCAGAAGTAAGGTTGATAACATTTATCAGCCAGATGAGAAGGCATGAAAACTAGTCCTGAGATTTCAATGATGATGACCTAGAGATAGATGACAGTATAGCTCACTAACTTAGAGAACCAGGAGAGCAGTGGGGTTGAGAATGGGAGGGAGGTGGGAGTCAATGAAGAGGTGTATGTAAGAAATGTGACTCTCAGTCCACCAGGCACATTTACAAAAGCCTAACTTTATTTGTGTATAACTTAACTTCCATTGTGAATTTCATTCTGCTTGGTCACAAAAACTGAAACTTAAATCAGTTCAGAGTTAGTCAACTTTTCTACAAGTTACTTTTAAGTTCAAGGGGAGACAAACAATGGAGTAGTGTCTGGGTGAACATTGATTATGTTCACATAATTAACATGTTTGACACATCCTGATTTTTCTGTACTTAACCCGGGTGCAACGGTTGGGCTGCCTCTGTCTTAGTCTCAATCAAATTCTTGAAGCTTTTTGGTGTGTTGCATGATTCTCTAACTTATGTGCCACCCTTGCTCATCAGATGGGAATACCTGTGGTTTCACTACCTTCATGCTATTCTGAGACATTCAGTGATTTGCTAGCACTCCTCCCAAGATAGAAGAACCTGTATGAGAGAAGGGAAACTGACAGTCTGAAATTGTCGCAGCTCTGTTGAGTGAAGAAAATGGTGGAACTGATGCCTTGCTGTAGTGCTCCCCTACTCCTCCCCTTCTTGAACTTTTCCTCCCCATCAAAGGAGACAACAATGGTCCATGACTGCTAAGCTGGCCACCTCCCTTCACCCCCGACTCTCCATGAACACAGGACACCTTAGTGAATTACATCACATTAATAGAACAGGTTGAAAATGATGGGGTTGTTGCTGTTAAGATCAGATTACAAAAAGGGTTCTGGCTTCCAGCTCATTCATCCATTCTTGGTCTTTGGGAAAGAGTTTCTAAAATATGTTCTAACCAATGAGAAGTGAACAAAGAGGGTCTCCAGACAAGAGTGAGAAACTGAGGCTGCCAGTCCAACAGGGAGTAGAACTTTGCCAGTGAACATGTAAGAGAGCATGTGCCAGGATCCCAGCTGCTGTACTTCCCATCCAGCTCCCTGCTTCTGGCCTAGGAAAGCAGTCAAGGACTCTGCACCCATATGGGAGACCGAGAAAAAGGTCCTGGCTCCTGCCTTTGAATCAACTCAGCTTTAACCATTGTGGCCACTTAGAGTGTGTGAACTAGTAGAAGGAACATCTTTCTCTCTCTCTCTCCTTCTGTATTTATTTTCCATGAAAAATAAATACATTTTTAAGAAAAAAGAAATGAAAAGCCCCTAGCCCTCAGGCCGCTGCTGTAGGACTCTGGTGAGCCCGGCTCTGGGATAACACCTTGATGAACAAGGAAAGCTGTCAAACAGGAAAGGGCTGTCAGTGTGGTGCTCCAATGCGTTGATGAGCTTCAGCAGTCCAGCTGCCCCAGGGGTGTTCAGCGCCTCAGCCGCCTGGAGCAAGGCATGCCTCCCTCGCCTCCCTGAGAGTTTCCTGCAGCAGATTGCTCAGCCACCCTCTTCTCTCTGTCAATTGTCCTTGTGCAGCACCAGGCTCTGTGTGCAGTCTCTCAAAGGGCAATTCCCAGCCATGAAGTCTCTCCTCATCGTGGTGGTTCTTCTGTCCTCTTGGGATGCCGCCCTAGCAGGTAAGATGTGAATCTTTCAGCTAAGGGAGGCAGGTGCTCCGACTAGAGCTGCCATTCTAACCAGAGACACCCTTGTAACCAAGCAGCCTTGTAAACATCCTGCTACTACGGACCCTTTCATCCCCCAAGCAGCAAAAGCATCGACCGGCTTTGCTGTCAGCAAGACCTGATCTTCAATCCTGACTCTGACATGTTAGCACTAGGACTTTGAACAAAGGACCGAGCTCCTCTGAGCCTTAGATCCTTCATTAAAAAAAAAAAAAAAAAGTAAACCATAAGACCTTTCACCTCGGAGTCTCACAGGGATGAAATGGGATTGTGTCTAGACTACGTCTATGCCTAGTGAGAAAAATATCCCACTCACCCCATCACATCCCATTGTATAGAATCATTAGTAATGCTCCCTCCTGTTTTGCTACTGCTGCTTTGTCTAGGTACGAGAGTCTGCACAGGTACTGATAGCACAGTGTATTAAGTTTTTTAAGACACTGAAAGCTCATTTAGGATTTATAGATCCCTCAGGTGCATGAAAAAGTTTCAAGAGACCCGCACTGCACTGTCTGTGAGAGCAAGAATGTCTACTCAGACAAGGTGGCCTCGAGGGAGGATGCAAGGGAGGCACAACTCAACAGACACATCAGCTTTATCCTTCCTTGACTGTGGAGGTCTCACCTGGAGTTACTGAGCCGCTCTGCGCCCTCTCCTCACAACTGCCCACCTAACTTTTCAGGCTCCCTGATGTGTTCTCTAGCAGATGAAGCAAATTTTCAAATCATAAAGGAGCACATTGGATTTGAGAGTTCATAGGCTCCAGGCCTAGAGTTAGAGGCATCAGTAATGGCTTCTGATAACTGATTCATATCCTCGCAGCGGTCAGCAGCTTCATTAGTCTACATATGTCCTATTCCATCCTTGCATCTGTGCGACTATCTTCCTTCATTACACGAATGTTACACATTATCAACCCAGTAGAGCTACAGCTTCTCATGGATTTCCATCTTGACAACTAGTTAACACTGATCATCTTTCTCTTATAGGGCAATTGTCCTCAAGGGCATGTTGATTTAGATAGGGTATGTATTGGTTCAAATTTTCTGTGAAGAGCCAAATAACTGCATTCTTTTTCTTCTGAATACCTTCTTCCATATTAATATAGGAAAATATTTATGATTGTTTATTCTAAGGGAGAGCATGTGCACAAAATTTAGAAATGACTCCATCTAGCTTCAAACCCACAAAACCATTCCATAGCACACACTGCACTGCACTTGTCATGTTTTCCCCTTTGATATTTTGTGTTTTTTCTCTGTCTAGATTGAAATTTTAGTGAAACTAATTTCAGCATATTGCTCAAATGTACCTCAGCAGTACCCAGTTTACTAGCTCTACAGACACCTGCTTGAGAGTTGAGTAGCTAAACATTTGAATAATTAAATACCAAGGGAATGACTGTACACACAGCTAACCTGATCGTTTAGATTATATTAACTGAGCAATTCAGGAGAACTTCCAATTACCAGTTATCTTATTGAAATCAGGCTGCCGCAACAACAACAATAAAAAATTGCAAACTGAGTGGCTTAGACAAAATTTACTTCCTCTAGAAACGAAGAACTCCAAGATCAAGATCAATTGACTGAGTTTCTGGTGAGGGCTTTTTTCCTGGTTTATAGATAGTCATCTTCTTGCTCTGTCTTCAACTAATAAGGCCATTAATCTTACTAGATTAGGCTACCGATCTGCTTGGATTAGAGTATCACCATTATTACTTCATTGAAACTAGATTACCTCCAGAAAAAGTATGTCTCTGAAAAAAAAAAATCACTTAAGAAGTTAGGATTTCAAAATGTGAATTTGTAGGGGGAATCCCAGTGCCTATAAAACTGTTTCACATAATACAATGCTATTAACAATAAAAAAAAAATGTGAATTTGGGGGCAATGCAATTTTTTTTCTTGTCACAAAATCAATTCTTTTGACCAACCAATCTTGGAATTTAGCTGAATAAATATTGAGGGGATAGTCATGAAGTGACCACCAAAGACCTGAAGTGAATTGTCTTTTCATTCATTTTCCTTCCAGGTTTCAATCTAATATCACCAGAATGGCGCAAGAAATGTTCCGAGAATGGTGTCTGCAGATTTGAGTGCTATGGAAGTGAAATGCTGGTCGACTATTGTATGTCACGTCTAGAATGCTGTGTCAGAGGAAACCCCGTACCCTGACATGAGAAGCCAGTCACTGCCTGCTGCCTTGAAAGCCTCTGACCCTCCCATCTTTCAGAAAGCCAGATACCACAGTCAAACTACAATATCGTGACGCACCGCAGTGAAGAATACTTAGTATTTTTTCATGAGCCGTTAAAATCTCATGATCTCAGATTTGAAGAGTAAAATGAAACCTTCTCATAAAGAGTGAGGCTTCTCATGAAAACCACTTGTAATCTGTATTCTGATTTCAGAGTAATCTCCACTATTTAGTTACTTTCTCCATAACTATAGAAAGTATGCCATGGGAGGCTGCGATAGAGTCAGCTTGCTATACCTTGCTCTTAACCCTACTGTCTGTAGAGGAACGGATTTGCATCTTAACTGACCTTGAAGTTCTTGAAATGGGAGAGAGCCCATCTTGGGATGGGTTTTCACAAGGTACTCTCGCCCATCTCCCATCTCCCCAGCCTCAGCCCCGTAGTGTTCAGCTACAGGCTGTAAGGCAGCTTGGTTCTCAGTGGAAAACCTTCAGCAGCTAAGCACACACGTCCTCTGCTCTGCATCAACCAGCGCCTCTAGCACTCTACCTGGGTGCCAGTCCAAAGGCCTAGGACCTAATATCATTCTGATCTTGCTATTTCTACATGTAAGTGAGAAACTCTCTAAATCCATTTGGACTCAGGTGTTTTCTGGGCCAGCCAGTCTCCTGAAGGTACAAACAGAAAGCCTAGCTCTTGTGCTGGTGGTGCTGTGGCTATAGCACTGCTGTTGCCTTCCTGCATGGCTGCTTGTTGAACATGGCCAGTTCATATGCAGAGGCATGCATACATTAGTTCTGCAGGGCTGCCCAGAGCCAAGAGCAGGGTGGCCCAAGAGACTGAATTCCAACTGTGTCGTAGTTTTCTACAGCATCAGGGCTGCATTCGGCTTGAACTCCGGTGAGTCTAAGAATACAGGGCTCTTGCTACGGAAAATTATTGATCTGGTACAAACTTGAGAACCAGTAGCTAAACTGCTAGGCTGAAACTCTGCACCCAGCCCTCCATGATGTTCTATCTTCAAGCAAATCAAGTGTAGATATCTATGGAAAGACATATACTAAAAATGTATTAGAGTGTGTCCTCCTCTCATAGGTCCAAACTTTCCAATGGAGTCTGTAAAAGAGGTAAGTTAAAGTGGACTGGGATAACAGGTGGCATAGATAAGCTATCATGGTTTCTGAGAATGTAAAGAATTCTTCAAGACAGGGTTCAGGAAAACTCAGCCTCTGAAGGAGGCAGGGGAATTTTTATCTGAAGAGTGATGAACATTACAGAATTGTGACCTCACAGCATCCCAGAGAGCCTGTCCATTTTGCTTTACCTGTCCAGTTAGCAGAATACCTAGACTCAGCATTGTAAGGTACAGGGTTAAGCCATGGCTTGTGACCACAGCATCCTATAGAATGCTGATTGAAGTCCTGGCTGCTCCAATTCCAATTTAGCTCCTTAAGAATGTGCCTCAGAAAGCAGTAGAAGATGGCCCAAGTGCTTTGGCCTCTGCCATCCACAAGGGAAGCCTGGATAGAGCTCCTGACTGTGGGTTTGGCTTGGCCCAGCCCCAACTCTTACAGTCATTTGGGAAGTGAACCAGCAGATAGAAGATCTCTTTCTGGGTCTCTCCATCCATATGTCATCCTACATTTCAAATAAATGAACAAGTATTTTTTTAAAATATCTAAAATTAAGTGCTTTTTAGTAGGAAAAGAAATAGGGGGGCCAGCATTGTGACACCTGCAGTGCCAGCATCCCTTATGGCAGTGCCAGTTTGACTCCTGGCTGTTCTGCTTCCAATCCAGCTTCTTGCTAAAGTGCATGGGAAACAACAGATGATGGCCCATGTACAAGAACCCTTCCCCCCAGGTGGCAGAAGAATAGAGTTCCAGGCTCCTGTTGAGGCCATCTGGGGAGAGAACCAATGGATGGAAGATTGTGTGTGTGTGTGTGTGTGTGTGTGTGTGTGTGTGTCCTCTATCTCTTTCTCTATCTCTCTGTCACTTTGCCTTTCAAATAAAAGAGTCTTTTTTAAAAAAAAATTTATTTAGGTTATGGTTTTAGAATCTGAAAGTCCAAGGTGAGGCAATCCTTGGCTCTGGTTTCTGTTGAGAGCCCAGTGAAGATGGTATCATGGGGGAGCACACGTGGGAGTGAGAGAGTGCATCACTAGATAGGCAGCTGGAGAAGAACTCAGCGCCAAGCTCACTGTCACAGCAAATCATTCCCAAGAAGTAGTTCAAGGTGTCACCTTAATCTGTTTTGAAGATAGCTCTTCTAATGACCTCCTAATGGACTCTCACTTCAGAAAAGTCCCATCCCCAGCCTGAGGGGCAAACCTCCAACAAATGGCCTTTTGAGTACCAAGCTACAGCCACAATATAGCCCCTGCTCATTTCCCATTTTATTCTCCTGATTGGGTGCAAGTTTCTACATGCATACACACAGAGAAACCTGAAGGTAACCCTGCCTATGGACAGTCTGAAGATTTAGGGGAGATATTGCTAAAAGAGACTGATTATCAAGCTGAGTCCAAAAGCTGAAAGGCAACTTCCTTCACTGAAATAATCAGATTCTCCCTCGAAAATAAATCAGGAGATCAGTCCTGCACTGCCTTCACCTTCCTAGCCCACAAACCCAAACCTCAGCCTTCACCAAGCCAGCCAGAAAACAGCCTCTGTTACAATGCTTGCTAAACACTCCTTTATTCTTTTGAAAGAAAGAATGCATGTTACAAGAGCATATGGAAGCTCTGCTAGGCTTCTTTAAATAAGGAAGCTGATAAATCATAAATTGAATACCTTTGGTTTACCTCTGCACGTTAACATACCCAAAGGCTCTGCCATGTTGCCATGTTGGTGGGTGGAGTCAAGGTAAGTCTGTCTGGGCAAAGGCACAGGTAAGTGTCTGAATCTCCCAGTCAAGTAGCTGTGACTGGGGGAATCGATGCTGGGCCAGGATTCCTGCTGCAGATCCTAGCTCCCCGTCCACCACAGCCAGGCTGTGCACAAATCCAGAGCTTGTCCAAGCATAAGGTTCGAGAATTTCCTCTATCCACAGTGATTGTGCTGTGGGAGGATCTCAGATGGCTCTGAGCATGCTCAGGACCATGGCTCTGCCCACCGCCACCAGGTAAGCCTGGGCAGAGGCATGGGTGAACACAGCTTCACGTACTGGCCACCCAGCAACAAACTCTGGGGTCTTGGGAGTGTGGAATTACTGCCTAGGGACATCCATGGATAAGGTCACTGGACATGTAGGTGAGGAATCAATCCTGAGGAAACCCAATGACAGGGCCACTGCTTTGCAGGTAAGTGAGGGGACTGAGACATGGTGGTTTGGAGGGGAGAGACCTGAAGATCTTTATCAGTCAGACTGATGCATCAGCCCACATGGGAACCTGGGTTGGGCTTATTAGCATGGACATGGGTGCCTAATATATGCCAAAGCGCATGCAAGCTGTGGCTGGGAACCTGTCTGGCAGGGCTAGATCCCAGTACCTGACTGTTAGAACAGGGGATGGGTCACATTAGGCAGGGCCAGGACACTAACCAACAAGTGAGAGAACCAGGTCTGGGGGTAAATTTTGTGGGGGATATGTGGGCCCAACCCTGTGGAAATACAAGTCCCATTGATTTTTCTCAAGAGTTGGGGTGGTGATGGGTTGAACTAGGTGTGACCATGGAACCTGCCAACACTCACAGGTACAGGGACTGAAAAAAGTCTGGGCAGGTCTAGGCTGCAGTACCCACATTTGCATCCTAAAACAGGATGTGGGCTGGGCTGGGCTGGGCTGCAGCATCCTACAGCTCATACAAGGCCAAGATGGAGGGGCAGGCAATGCTGGGAAAGGGTCTAGCAGCCAGTGGCATGCATGAGATCTGGGTCTGGGAGTAGGCCTAGTACAGGAACTTAGGCAACTCTCCTAGAGGGTGATAGCTCCCACTGGTTAGCATGTGATCCAGGCCTGGGGGTCAGGCAGGCTGGGTAAAGTAGCTCCAACTGCTGGCAAATGTGTGTGTTGGTTTTGGGGGGCAGACCAGGTAGGGCCAAGCAAGTGCTCACTGGCAAGTGCAGAAATCAGGCTGGAGTGCAGGTCATGCCAGGCTAGGATGCCACACCTACAACTTTGCATGAGCCAAGTATGGGAGCAGACTGAGGACTGAGCAGGGCCAGGTTCCCAGCACCCATCAGTGAGAGTTGGGACTTGGAGCAGGCTGGGTCAAGCCAGGCTGCAGCATCCAAAGGCAAAGGCCAAGAGAGGGGAGGGGCTATGCCAACTTGGGTCAGAGAAACCACTGGTATGCATGAGATTTGTGGCTGGGAACAAGTCTGGTTGAAGAATTAAGAGGACACCCTAGCTGGGTTATGGGTCTCACTGGTGAGTGCATGGTCCAGAGTGGGGGCTGTGGTCTGGTCTGGGCATGGCTGTAGTGTCCATTGGCACAAGTGTGGACTGGCTCTGGGATGTGCAAGACTGGGCTAGACTCCAGCACCCACTGATGCTCATAAGAACCAGGATGGGTGTAGGACAGACTGGACTAGCTCTCTAGAATGGAGTGTAGGTCAGGCTGGTTTGGGCCTGGTTGAGCCTCAACACAAGCCAGTTCACAAGAGGGCCAGGACTGGGGACCTGATGGGCTGGGCTAGGCTGTAGACCCCACCCGTGTGAGCTGGAATTGGGAAGTGAGCCAGGCCCAGCCAGGCTACAGCACCCTCTGGCAAATGCCAAGGTGAGACAGGCCAAGCCAGACTGGGCCACAGCACCCAAGCAGCACATATGAGACATAGAGGGAGAGGGAGTGAACCTGGTAGGAGAGACTGCATGACTGTTGCACTGCTAGACTACCACTCCCACTGAGAGTGTGAGAGTTGGGTTGGAGCAGATCATGCCAGGCAGGACTACAACACCTGCTGACCTCATGTGAGCTGGATCATGGGAAAGCCAGGGTGGATTGACTGTTCCTACTGGTGTATGCAAAACCCAGAGTGGGTGTTGGTTGGTTGGACTTCACCACAGCATCAGCTAGCAGATGCTGGCATGGGGGGTGTAAATTCTGTCAAGTTAAATTATGAAATTACCTGGAGAATGCAAGATCCGGGATTGGGAGTGGACCAAGTAGAGAAACAGTAGGCACTTCACTCTTGGGTTGCCACTCTGACTGGTGAGAATGAGAACCAGGACTGGAGCAGGCATGACTAGACAGGGAGTGGCATCTGCCAGCACGTGGGTGAGCTGGATAGTGGAGCTGGTTGGGTTGAACTGGGCTTCAATGCACATTGAAATGTATGAGAGCTAAATGAAATGTGGGACAGACAGGACCAGTCTGTTCTACATGCTGGCAAGCACAGGAACCAGAGCAGGGGGGCAGGTGTGGTAGAGGTTATTGCGGGTCACTCCAACTAGGCTACAACTCCCACTGGTTTGTGTGGGGACCAAGTGGGTAGGATTGGGCTGGACTGCAACACCCATTGGTTTGTGTAAAAGACAGGGCTAGAGACAGGATTGACCCAGCAAGTACATAAGCTGATTTGGGCAACAGACTGTGCCAGACCGTGTATTGGCATACACACATAAGAATCAGGTCTGAGATCACCTCAGATGAAGTTTCTTTGGGAATCCCCCCCAACTGAACCGCTGGACTCAGAACCCCAACCATAGAGAAAACTGTAATTTCCAATGGTCTGACTGTGGAATGTATGTGTCAGAGCTGGGCCTTCTCAGTGGCTTAGATGGAGCAGTGGACAGCATATCCAGGTGCACATGGAGGATATGGCAGTACACTGGAGCCTGCAGACGACCCTTGGTACCATAACAGAGGATGGAGGACAGAACAAATCAATCAACTACCCTAGCGAAAAGTTGGAGTGAGTACCTGGGCAAACGGAGACTCAGGTGGACTATGTCAGCCAGTGGATTCTGGAGAGATTTCATCGTGGTTGGAGTGACAAGATCAGCAGCAATACAAAACTGTTGAATATCAAAATCACTTGAGCAGGACCCTCAGAGCATGCCCCACATCGGAGACTCTGGGGTGGTGTCGGGTGGCTATCCGCTCCCCAGGGTACAGAGGCATTTGGGAGGCTGGGTGTGGCTTCTCCCTTCATCTGCTCCCTTCCCCCAGATAGAGGAAGAAAAAACAGAGAATGTGCTAATAATGGTCACACCCACCTTCTAATAGGCCTTGACCCTTATCGCCTTAATAAACTATGTAAAAATCATCAGAAGGGGCAGATCTACAGAGAGGAGAGACAAAGATCTTTCATCCACTGGTTCACTCCCAGGTGGCTGCAATGGCTGGAGATGAGCTGATCCAAAGCCAGGAGCCAGAAGCTTCTTTCAGGTCTCCCACGTGGATGCAGGATCCCAAGGCTTTGGGCCATTCTCCACTGCTTTCCCAGGCCACAAGCAGAGAGCTGGAGGGGAAGTAGAACAGCTGGGGTACAAACTGGCACCCATATGATATCCCAGCATGTACAAGGTGAGGACTTTAGCCACTAGACCACCACGCTGGGCCCACAATTGTTTTTATACAAAATTCAAAAGCAGGTGTCAGGGCTTTGCCATTAGAAGTCAGACTAGGTATTTCAGAACTGTAAAAACCATTTGAACAGTACCCTTGGAGCGTGTTCCACATCAAGGACCCTGGAATGCCATCATGTGGCCGTCCCCCATCCCTGAATACTAATGTAGTTAGAGTGCTGGGTGTGGCTTCTTCTTATCTATCACCTCTTCCCCCAGATAAAGGAAAAAGAAAGAAAGAAAGAAAGAAAGAAAGAAAGAAAGAAAGAAAGAAAGAAAGAAAGAAAGAAAGAAAGAAAGAAAGAAAGAAAGAAAGAAAGAAAGAAAAGAAAGAGAGAAAGAAATGGAAACAATTTTCTCACCCACTTTTCCCTATTCCCTGGCCTTTCCCATCCTAATCAGTGGTGCACATGCGCATGCAATGCTTCTCAACTTTGAAAATATCATCAAAAAACCAAATTTTTAAAGAATTTTTAAAAAGAAGTCAGGCTAAGTCTGCAGTGGACAGAATGTCCAGAAGCATGCAGGGAACATGGCAGCCAGCTCATTTAGGCCAGCAGGGGACGTCAACTGTCTCATCAAAGAATGAAAAACAGAACAGACTGAACAACTCTCCCGAGCAAGCTTTGTAACATGTTTGGGTCTGTCTCTGGACTTTGCCAACCAGTAGATCTTGGAAAGATTTTCTAAACCCTGAAGCAATAAAGCCAACATCACAGGTCTAGTGAAACCATTCAACTAATACCCTTGGAACACTCTTGCCCATATCGGGGTCTCTAGCATCATCCACTGTCCCCAGTTGTTGACGTGGTTTGACAGCCAGGAGCAATCCTCTCTGCCTCCTCCCCTGCAGACATAGGAGGGAAAAAAAAAAGACCAAAACATGTGTCCCACTGACTTTCCTCCATTCAAGACCCTCTCCATCCAAATGCATCCTTCTCAACTATGTAAACAATATTTAAAAAAAAAAAAAAACTTTAAGAGGTCAGGCTAGAAATTCTCATTGGTGAGGTCATGCTAGAATGTTCTTTTCTTTCTTTTAAATTTTATTTCCACTTTATTTGAAAGGCAAAGGAACTTGAGACATCATACACTACCTACCAAAGTGCATATTAATCAACAGGAAACTGGTATTGGGAGCACAGTGAGGACTCAGAGCGAGCCAAACCTTCCCAAGGGGTGCTGTCACCACCACACCCCATGACCACCACATATGTTATTTTTCTGATCTAAGTGCTGGTTACAACAGCCTATGAATGAAATTTGTGGAATTCATCAACATTTATTTATTTAGACTTTGTAAACTTTTTAGTTGCATGGCATGCTTCAAAAAAGAAGTTTTCAGAAAACTTGGTCAGTCACAAGTTCTCAAAAAGAAAATAACACTGAAGACGGGAACTGCAACTAGGAGAGTATTTCTGTAGGATAGACACAGCCAACACAGCCACAGGGTGGAGTAAAGCCATGATTTTAATGAGGTGGCGCCGCTGAGAGGGATCTGGAGTCCCAGAAAACATCTGCAGGAGGCTTGCTGAACTCACAGCTATCACCCAACAAGGATAGGCAAGTCTTTTTCGGAGACACAGCAAAGATGATAATTGTTACAAAAAATGTGATAGACTTCACTCTCTGCACATGCTAACTTGCAGGTGCCTTTCAATCGCCAGCAGGTTTCGAAGATCTTCTTGAGGTAAGCATTTGGTCCACTTTTAACTGTCGATGGAAAGCAAAGTGCAGACAGTCAGTGCCCTGCTAGCATCGTGAAGGCTACACTTTAGACCTAATCAAAGCCATCTAAAACATCTTGTGGCTGAGTGCTCCTTTTTCAGTTGTTCTTACCTGATTTTGCACTGGCCCCGATCGAGACCAATTAGCTCCTCTTGTCCATGCTTACATGAATCACTAATCAACTAAATCGAAGGACCAGGGTCCCTCAGATTCTTCTTGGGACTATTCGTTATGGAAAACCCATTCAGATGTTGAAGAGATCTCAGAAGTCTGCACAGACCTCATATTGGGAAGCAGGCACAGTCAAGGACTCAAAGCTGTGCATGGTTATTAAAGTGTCTGCATGAGGATAGAAAGACCCCTGAAATAAGGTTTCAAAAGTCCATGGTCCTAGCCCTGGGTTCACCAACAACATTCCTGCTGACTTGTGCCAAGTGTCTTACTATTTGCCCTGGCTTAATCACAAGGCACTTAATAGAATACTATGCAATTAGTAGAAAGTGGTTTTGCATAGTCATTTTCTTAGCTGATACGATTAATACGAGGTGCTTCTGAAAGACAAGAGGTGAGGAAACAATGGTAGGAGGAAGTTTAAGAGGGGTGGGGTGGCCCTGAGTCACCCCATTCTTGGGTGTTGAGCCTTCTCATTGTCTTGTCAGTCACCCAGATAGTGATGGGGCCTGGGTTGCATGAAATGATAGGTGCAATGTGCCTATGCGCTTTGCTAGCAGATTTGCCCACTCGGTGCTTCCTGACTCTGGAGCACCTGTCTGGAAACAAAGGAATCTGGTGGAGAGACAGTGAAAATTTCTGAACATTATGATCATGTCTAAGCAACAACATGACCCTCATCTATGTTCCAGCTTGGACATATCTAATACGTAGCCCTTCAGGGATTCTGTGTCTGTGATGGCTGGAAGCAAGAGCTAAGAGCCTTCTGTAGATTCCATAAAACCCCAAGCAATTTTGAGAACATCAGTGACTTCAGTGGTGTTTTCTCAGGAACACTGACCACTGTTCTCAGAGCGTAAATTCCTCAAACTGATGTTCTGTCAGATCTCATCATTTTAGAAGTTGATTGGATATGTTTTAACAACCAGCACTGCTCACCAAGCCTGCTGAGCATGATACTCGTATTAACTGGAGTTCTACAAGTAAGAACACAGGCTCATACTATGTAACTCTGATTATTATTCTTTAAGAATTCAGTGTCTGAAAGACAAGATAACTAGCAAATTTGAGAGGAAGTCCTCAAGGAACAGCCTCCCTCCCCACCTCCACCTGTCTTCTAAAAAAATTTGGGGGGGGGGTTCCTGCCCTACTTTTACTAACGCCAACGTCCAACCTTCCCCATCAAACTATGTGGACTCCCTAGACCAAAATCCAGAACAAGATTCCTCTCTGAAGACGGCGACCTACTAGCACATGTCTTTGACCTCTCCTCTCCATTCCCTGGCATTGCTTAGTGCAAGCATCACTACTCACATCCCTGCTGGCTTCCTTCCCTTGTCTTAGTTCTGTCTTTTTCTCACTCTTGTAGAATCAAATACCCTTTTGGCTTTCACCATTCCTAATTCCACAGGGAGGAGAACCCATGTTACCTGGTGGAACAGAGGAGAGCAAGACAAGAACCAGGAGGATCAACAGTGAACTCCTCATGGCCAACCAATGAGGCGAATGAGAGGCTGGGTGGGGAGGCAGTATATATGTAGCTTTCGGGAGATGGGGCACTGCGTGGCTAGTGAACCTTTTGGAACAAGAACACCTGCTTGCTCCAGTGAACAACGCAATAAAGGAAAGGCTTCATTTTTGAGCAAGACGTCTCCCCACCAAAGCACCCATCCTGGGTGTCACTTGTGTGCTAAGCATCTGAATTTCACAGGGTGTGAACAAACCTAATGTCAATCTGGGAAAGATGTTGTGTCGATATCATTGTATCTTTATTGTACACTCATCGGCTGTATACAGATGCCTCTGTGCACAGAAAATCATAAGGACTACCTTACATGATTGACCAAGTGGTTTTGTTTTGTTTTAAAAATTTATTTATTTTCATTGGAAGGGCAGATTTATAGAGAAGGAGAGACAGAAAAATTTTTCATCCACTGATTCACTATCCAAATGACTGCAATGGTTGGAGCTGAGCTGATCCAAAGCTAGAAGTCAGGACCCTCTTAAAGGTCTCCCATGTGGGTACATAGTACCGAGGCTTTGGACCAACATCCACTGCTTTCCAAGGTGCATTGGCAGGGAACTGAAGGGAAATAAAGTGGAACAACCAGGACATGAACCAGTGACCATATGGGATCCCAGCGCTTGCAAGGTGAGGATATAGCCATTTAGCCATTGTGCCAGGCTCAGGAATGCTAGTCTTAAGTAAATAAATGACTTTCCTGGGTTCTCAAAGATGGTAAATGGCAGCAAAACAATTTACACACAGATTTTGTTGGTTGCTATATATAGAAGAGGATATCAAAGGCTCATGGAAATAAAATTAAGTGATGTTTCTTTTTCTACCATCCCCTCCAAAAAATCTCTGAAATCCAGGTGTAGGCAGGGTCTTCAAAAGTACTGCCGTACATGGAAGAGTTAAAGTATGGCCTGGTTCAAACTTCTTAGAAAATCAGGGCTGCTGCAATAGTATGGACAGGTCCCTGGAACAGCGGCACCATGAGCCTGGAGACACATGGAGTTTTACAGCTCCCTAGTAAGCACATGCCTTGTACTGGTCTTCTATTGGCACTGTGGGTTGTATAAAGACTTTATAGAAATATCCTTGCTGGGGGATGACACAATGGTGTAGTGGGTTGGGTCTCCACCTGCAGCATGCATCCCCATCCTGGTTGCCTACTTTCAAGCCAGCTTCCCGATAATATGCCTGGGAAAGCAACAGAAGATGGCCCAAGTACTCTGACCCCTGCATCCATGTGGGAGACTCAGAAGAAACTCCAGGCTCTTGGCTTCGGACTGGCCCAGCTCCAATCTTTGAGGCCATTTGGGGAGTGAATCATGAGTAGATCTGTCTCTCCACTCTCTGTAACTCTGCCTTTCAAATAAAAATAGATCTTTAAAAACTATATTTTTGTTTTGAGTGACTAAAGGCTAGAAATGATGGTTTTCAAAGTGTTTTAAATTTTATAACCCTATCTGACATTATGTCAAGAACCCAGAATCAAAAAAAGTTAGTTGCTGGGATTGGTGCTACGGAGTAGAGGGCTAAGCATCCCACATCAGAGTGCTGGTCCAATTCCTGAATACTCTGCTTTGGACCCAATTTTCTGCTGTGTATCCTGGAAAGACAACAGATGATGATTCAAGGGCTTGGAGTCCTAATCCCCACATGGAAAATCCAGATAGAGGTTCCAGCTTCTGACTTTAGCCTGACCCAGCCCTGGCTGTTGTGGGCATTTAGGGAAGAAGATATGAGATAGATAGATAGATAGATAGATAGATAGATAGATAGATAGATAGAAGGAATCTCCCTTTGGTAAAACTCTTCTCTTTCCAACATTGGGAAATTTGTAGTGTGGTTGAGATTATAGACCTGCAAAAGACTCATAAAAGAATTAACAGAGCAGAAAATCAATAAGTAAAGAAAGAGTAGTGAATGTGAGTAGGGTGGAGCCCCAGGGGAAATGGTCATGGCACATGGATGCACAGAGAAGTCTTCAGAGGATGGCTTTCCAGCCCAGGGCATTGCAGGTGGCCAGGCATGCCCACCCCCGGCTCCCATGGTGCTGAGAGCGTCTCCCTAGGCTGCATCCCAATCGTTCTCACTCTGCCCTTCAGAACTCCAGTTCCTGCTGAACACACCCCTGCAACTTCTCACACTCAGAGGACCGCAATACACTGCACTTGGTGTCTTGGGTGCTGTTTCCTGGAAGCCTTTGGTGATTGCTGGCTGTTCATCTGCCCAGGCTGACCATACCATGGGCCAGTCATGAGGCGTGCAACAATTTCCCAACAACCCCATGCTATTTCCCGAACATCCTTCCTTGCCCTTTCCCCTTTCGCATTGAATGATTTATCATGTGTTACCAACTCTGCCTCCACCATGCATCTCCCAGTCATCTGATTCCTTTCATCTCCACTATTGTCACTCAGTCCAATCCATCCCCACCTGCCACAACCTAAATGGTCTTCTTATCCAGCTCCCAGATACATACCCTTTATCTTCCCCTCAGTAACCAAAGTGACCTTCATAATATTGAAAGTGGGTCATGCATTTGGCTTGTGTAGATACCCTTTAGTGGTTTCCTTTTGGGTTGTTGTAGAAACTGCTTAGCAGGGCCCTGATCTGGTCCCTGGCTTCTTCTCCCTACCCAGCATTTCTCACTCATTCTGTCTCATTGTAATGCACTCTACTGCCTTTCCCGTTCTCACGCATGCCTACCTCAAACCTTCCCTGTACGCAAGCCCTGGCCTGGCCAGCTGCATCACTGTCCCCCTCATCTTCACTTCCAGGTATTCATTTGAAGGGAGTGTCTCAGCCTCTGCTGCAGAATGGATACTCCTAAACCTTCTTCATAAAAAAAAATAGGTTTTCTCTGTAAGTGTAATTCTTAGGACTTTTTTTTTCATCATTTACATTTAAATATGATAATTCCATATTTCTGCATTCTTTAACATTTTCTCCCTCCATTTGATTGTAAGCTTCACAAGAACATGGACTGTGTACATCAACAGACATGTGACACCACATAAGTGAAATCCATTTTGTTTTCTAGAACATTATCGGTTTTCTCAAAGTGCTAAAACAAAGTTTCAGGCAAGCAGATGTATCAAGCAAGAAATGTATTGTCTCACAGTCTGGGAGACAGTGAATCTAAAATTAAGATGTCAGTAGGGTTGGTTCCCTCAAGAGCTATCAGAGAAGAGTCTGTTTCAGGCTTCTCCTCAAGCTTCTAGAAGCCTCAGGCATTCCTTGGCCTGGAGACAAAGTTGTCTTTCTATCTTTCCATCATGTTCTATATATATCTGTGCCTGAGTTCAATGCTTCCCTTACTATATAGTCATAGTGGATTAGGACCTACCCTAATGACTTCATCTTAAGCTGGTCATTTGCAAAAACACTGGTTTTGAATTAGGTCACATTCACAAGAACTAAAACTCAGAGCTTCAACATAGCTTAGGAAGAGAAAATTTAACCCAAAAACAGGTGTTAACCTTCCATGTTCCTAGGTGACCTCAATGACATCAACCACTTTTACCCCTAAATTACTAATTATTCTTTTTATCTCTCAACAACCATCTAACTAGATGAAAAAGACAAATTTGAGACTTTTGAAAGGCACTGGAGAGTGTCACACAACTCAGTAGATGGCTGAGTCTAGAAATTAAGTCAACCGCACTTGAGATCTGGGTCTGAAAATGGAGCTGGTAGAGGAAGTTGGGGAACTCCCCTACTTGGCCACAGCTCCCTCTGGTGAATATGAGAACCAGGGCTGGGGTTGGGTCAAGCCAGCCAAGGCTGCACTAACTCCTTAGCATGTGTGTGGGCTGGCTTGGTGGCATGTGCAGCTGGGCTTGGCCAAGCCTTAACACCCACTGGCACAGACAGGGGCCTGGACAGGGTGTAGGCCATGTTGGGCTAGGTTACTTCACCAAATGAGTCACATGAAAGCCAAAGAATGGGGCAGGCTAGGCAGGACTAGGCCTCAGCACCCACTGACGAGAGTTAGGACTGAAGACAGGCTGGGCCCAATTAGTCTGCAGCATATACTGGCAAGTGCCAAGACTGGGAGAGGATCACGTCAGGCCGGGTCAGAGAAATCACTCACACAGCCAAGATGTGAACTGAAAGCAAACCTGGTAGGGGAACTAAGAGTACTCTTCTGCTAGGCTGCAGGTCCCACCGGTGAGTGCAAGAGCTGGGGTTAGGGGCAGATCTGGTTGAACATGGATACAGTATTCCTCAACATATGAGAGTAAGATGCTATGGTATGCAGAAGTGACTAGAATGTGTGCAAGGAATGGACCCATTTCATCTCAGCAGATGTTCTAGCTTTTCATCTCACAGAGAAAACAGAGATCAGAGGGTTTAAATTCATTGAACTTGACAAACCAATCCCCACCCTACCTACCCAACTATTATATACCTGCCTATCTATGCCCCGTTTCCTTTTTTCTTCTTCTTCTTCTTCTTCTTCAGAGAAATAGGCGGAAATTCTCTTCCTAAGTTGTATCCTTTTACCCAAACTATAGTTACATTCCCACCCATCTTCTCAGGCATACTGCTTTGTCAATAGCACTCCTCTAAATTTGGTGCTGGAGCTGTAGTGTAGCTGGTTCAGCATCTTTTTGTGAAACCTGCATCTCACAGTTGAAGTTCCAGCTGCTCTGCTTCCAATCCAGCTTCCTACCAGTGTTCCTAGGAAAAAAGTAGATGATGCCCTATGTTTTCTATTTGAAATAGGAAAACAGGGGAGAAAATACATTAAAGTGCTTGCACTGTTATTCTCTATATTTAAGCTTAGAGCAGTACATTTATACTTTCAGAATGTCATTAAAGTTAGTTCAGAAGCACTATGCTATGATGCAGAGTGTTAAGCCACAACATGAAGCAACAGCATCCCATATTTGAGCACTGGTTCAGGTCCAACATTTCTAAATAACTCCCTGCTAATGCACGCTGGAAGGGAGTGGAAGAAGGTCAAGGT